GTGTGTGTGTGTGTGTGTGTGTGTGTGTGTGTGTGTGTGTGTGTGTGTGCATGCATGCAATTTATTTTTCACGATTTTTCTCTATTTTTGATCAAATAAATGCAGCCTCAGTGAACATGGGAATTTCAAAAGCAATAAAAAAATCTTACTAACCCCAAACTTAAAAGGTAAAGTGTAAATTAACAAACAGGGATTTAGTCCGTTAACTTAACCATCTTTAGAAATGTTAACAATATTCAGGATATTGGTTAATTTTAAAACACAATAATATAGAAAGATGGACTATATCACCCAGCCCTACTGGCAGTACTGGGAAGTCTTAACCCCAAAGCATGTGATACACAGTCAGAAATGCACCACAGTTTTACAGTGGGAAGCGTTTCATGCTCAGTGACTTCCTGTGTGTGGTGTTTCTTCTCCTTTGGTGTAAATTCATCCACTAACAAGGTCTTCTTCTGTTCAGAAGACAGGCCCAAAGCCTGCCATGTAGAGATCTACATCTCTGATCCCATCTGTCCACATCACGTATGATGTTGTCTCATGTCGTAGTTGTTTAGGAGCGTGAGCTGCTTGGTAAGTCAGCCGTGTGGTGGTTTGGCTCCCCTCTATGGCCATTCAGCATTAGTGTTAGCCGGAGACGTTTCTGATATCCGAGATTAATGGAGACTCTTTATAATGAATAAGCAGCATCGTGGCTCCTGTATGTGGTGGTTTCTTCCCTCTTCTTGTGTTTGATGGCTTTCTCTGTCCCTTCCATCACCTTTTTTCTTACTTTTTCCCCCCCGCGCAGATAAATTGTTCATCAAAGACACGTCCCGCCGGCTGAACGACTTCACTCTGCTCTTTCCAGCCTTTCTTTACCTCTCATCCCTCTACATTGTTTTGTTCTCCATCTCTTCTTGTACAGAACCTTTAATTCTTTCGGCTTAATGTAAAACTATGTAAATGTCTCATTTTTGTTCTTTATTTCCTTTTCATTTCTATGTGCTTTTATTGCTGTGGCTCTAATAAAGTCAGAAGCACTGGTAGAAGTCCTGGGTTTCTTCTATGGTTATTGTATGAGCTCTTGTTCATTAAGTGTTTAATAAAGGCGATCTTTTCATGTGGGGAACGTTCCTAAAGCGCTGCATGTTGGCTTCCCCATATTTACATGTTAGGCAAATTCATCCTCTCCTACTATTCAAATTTCTGTGGCTTTTTAATCAGGTTTTCTCAGGGAAGTAGATGACGGTCAATTCTGTTCTAACGTCTCTTCATTAAACTGCATGATTACCTGTCATTTATAAGCTGTGCTAGTAGTAAATGTTCCTGTGGTGATAAACCTATTCTCTCTGTTTGAGAATAGCTAGCATCACTAATAGTTAGGGTTGTGGTTTTAAACAAACCACTAACATAATATGAAATAAGTATTCAACTCCACTGAAAATGAATCCTATGTCAAATAGTACTGCGTGTTGAGGAGAGATCTCATAGACTTGCATTACGAGAGCGGATCTGAGCCGTGTCTGTGAGGATGTTATGTCTAATAGAGAGAGCACCCTAGCAACAGTTTCTTCAGAAAATGTAAAAGTTGCATTTTTATATTATGGAATAACACCAGATCCTATTATTATTACACAATCTGAGTAAATTGTTGCTATAATGGTGTTTTAAAACCAATTCCCCACTTTTTAATGTAGGAGAACAGTGTTGGAATAGATATCTAAAAAATTATGTAACATTTTTAAAGCCGTAAAATGTGTATATAAATTTGATATTTAACGTTTTTATTTTATTTTAAGTGCTTTGAGTATTTAAAGTTCAAATGCACGTGTTGTCACTAGTGAGAACAGATGACTAGTTTTGTTTTCTCAAAGTCTGCTCTAGCGATTAATCTTCTGTTTACATATTCTACGAAGGCATTAGAATTCAAATCCAAGTACAGTGAATGTCATTCCAATGCTAGTTAGGGATCTACAATAAGGGTTTTTTCTTCTGCTTGCTTTGGGGCATGAAAACAAATTATAATAAGCTTTCCATTGATGTATGGTTTGTTAGGACAGGACAATATTTGGCCGAGATACAACTATTTGAAAATCTAGAATGTGAGGGTGCGAAAAAATCTAAATATTGAGAAAATCGCCTTTAAAGTTGTCCAAATTAAGTCCTTAGCATTGCATATTACTAATCAAAAATTAAGTTTTGATATATTTACGGGAGGAAATTTACAAAAAATCTTCATGGAACATGATCTTTACTTAAATTTGTATCAATCATAATTTAATGTACATATTCCTTTTTAATTTACATAAAATTTTAAGCTCTATTTCTTTCTAATAGCTGAAGTTCTGTACTGTCAAACGATTAATCGCATCCAAAATAAGTTTGTTTACATAATGTGTGTACTGTCTATATTTATTATGTGTATATAAAGAGACACACAGCATATATTTGGAAAATATTTACTTGTATTTACGTGTATATATTTATATTCATATAAATGATGTCATAAAATATATTTAATATTTAAACGTAACATATTTTTCGTGTGTGTGTGTATTTATATATACATAATAAATATACACAGTATGCACACAACTATTATGTAAACAACAACTTATTTTGGATGCGATTAATCGTTTGACAGCACATATAATTTTTATCTAAATATTGAGAAAATCGCCTTTAAAGTTGTCCAAATTAAGTCCTTAGCATTGCATATTACTAATCAAAAATTAAGTTTTGATATATTTACGGGAGGAAATTTACAAAAAATCTTCATGGAACATGATCTTTACTTAAATTTGTATCAATCATAATTTAATGTACATATTCCTTTTTAATTTACATAAAATTTTAAGCTCTATTTCTTTCTAATAGCTGAAGTTCTGTAATATAGGTATAATGTAACTGAAAAGGATTGCATACAGTGATTGCATACTTCCTTAGATGAATGATTTGTTCAACATTTCCAAGACTGTCAAGTAATTTTCCCAATTTTGCGGCAACTTCGTCTATGTTGTCCATCAGCTGCACACACCACACTGTATGACTTGTTACACTGGGCCGTTCTTATTGTTGAGCTCTGCTGGTGAGTATATGAGCTCTGTGTCCTTCTGTCTGGTCCATCTGAATCACCTCCTCCAGGTTGATTTGAGTCTGAGTGAAACGCTACTAACCTGCAGCTGTTCTCATTTCTTCTTCACTCTGTTCTTTCTGTGTTTCTCTCTTTCTCTCGTCTTAACCTGCTGCCGCTCCTGTAGACCATCTCTACCAGCAACTCGAGAAAAACCGCCATCTCTCTAACGAGCTAAGAATGGCTTTGAATGAGGACTAAAACTAGTGTGGACTTTTGGTTCTTATCACCAAATGGTGTCTAAAATGAATGCTGTTGTGAATGAAAGTTCAAGGAACGTGTTTTTGTAACAAAGTTACACTTTTGCTGCCTTCAAGTCATGTTGGAAAGATGATAATTGCGAGTTGAGATTTACCACAAAATAACATTTTGTATGTTGCATTTTGTTGACTATTGAATTTTTATTTCATTATTTAGTTTAAATACTTAGTGTTTATTAAATTGTTTTTCTTTGCCATTCAAAAAAACTGTTCAAGAAAAAATAAATGGCCAACCTTTTATATGAATTTAAATATTTAAACTATAGTATTACATGTATAATTTAATATACTGCTATTTAAATATTTAAACTATATATTATAAATTTAATATAATTGAGAAATGTAAATATTAAATTCTGTTAAAAATATTATGATTTTTTTTCTTTGCTTTTCATTGTTAAAAAAAATCCTTTGTTGTGTACATAATTTATA